TAATGCAACTATTAGCCAAATATACTATTAATAAAATCCTGGGTCGCAAGTACTCACCTTAATATTTAAAAAAAAAAAAAGTAAATGCTAAGATCTGTATAAACTCTATAAAAGCATAATAATTATATAATATAATTCTGACTGCAAGTATTAGTTCATCATAGTGATATTGAGTTAATTGTAAAAATAAATACAGAAGACTTTAAGAGGTTTACTTCAAGAATAAAATAGTTCTAAGGTTGAAATGATGATTTGAGTATTTGGATATGATCTAATAATATTAATACAATTTGCAGTTTCAGAAGATTTAAACTAAAACACTCAAGCAGAAATATTAGATATAATAATTGGTAAAGAACTTTTAGACAGACTTCTTAAATAAATAATATAGAAAAGTTATATGTATAACCAATTATATGCTTTTTTGTAGTGGTTTACTGAATCACATTATCAAAAAAGTTATTAATAAAAAATCAAAAGACCAAAAAGATCATCTTAATATTTAAAAAAAAAAAAATTTAAATTAATATATTTTTTAATAATTTTTTTTTTTTTAGTATTAAAATGATCTTTTTAGTCTTTTAACTTTTATTAATAACTTTTTTTTTTTTTAGTAATGTAATTTTATAAATTACTACAAAAGAACATACAATTGACTACATATATAACTTTCTATATTATCTATTTAAAGAGTCTACTTGAAAATTTTTTACTAATTACTGTATTTAATAGTTTGCTTAAATGTTTCACTTTAAACTCTTTAAACCTATAATCTGTATTAACTTACTAGATTATATCTAGATGATCAAATCATCATTTTAACCTTAAGACTATTTTATCTTTAAGATAAATCCTCTAAAACCTTCTGTACCTAAAAACACAGTTAATACTCTTTTTTATTAAGATATTATTTTATTTAGTTTTTGCAAGTTTATATATATTGTTACTATATATATTATCAGTAATGTTTTCTAATCCCTTCATACTAAATGCTAACAAGTTTATTTATAGTAATCTGGATCCCTAACCCTGTGATATAAAACCTTTAACTTTGAGATCTGCAGTTCCCTATTAACACAACCTTACAGGTTCCATCTTCTTTTAATATATCTTTTCATGATTTTTTCTTAATCTGAAAACCTTTATATTATCAATATTTCTTGTGGAATTATCTTCTTATCTGAATGTTATGTGACTTTGTGATTATGTCACCTATGTCATGCAACTTGTTTGTTGCTATAATACTCTTGTCTGAAAATAAAAATAAAAAATCCCCTTAAAACCATGAACATTCGTAATCCTGGCACAGTTTTTTCTTCAGTTGGAATTAAACCAACAACCTTGGAAATGCAACCTGGAAGTGCTAACCACTGCACTATCGACCCCAGGTCCTAAGAACTTATTTTAAGTTTGCATCACTTTGCATAATATTGTAAAGATCGCATAATCTATTTAAATATTTCGTATAATCTTAGCATAATCCTGAACACCCTAATGCTGGGAAAGTTATATAATGCCGAATAACCACGTGATAATCATCGCATAAGTAAAGAAATAATAACTTGTAAATTATTAGCGTTAATCTTTTAAACTCAATGGATATTTAAAATTTTGCAAAAAACAACGCATTACTTAACCGGCAATATTTGTCGAGTTACAATTTTGGATGTTTTGCTCCATAACAAATTGTACTTTTGTCAGCTTGCAAAATAAAATTTGGTTTTAAAAAGTTTGATCATTTCACTATCGCTATGGTTTTGACGTACCTCGCCTGCAATTTACAGGTCTCTAATGTGAATAATAAGAATTCGTAAATAAATAAATGAAATGATAAATTATAGTAAAAATTCAAAGTTTAATTCCTAAATATTGTACGTTATTAAATTTTAGGGTTGCACTTTGTGTAATATAGTATTTCCGCGTTGTTTATTATTTAAAACAATTATAATCCCACCAATACATACTCTCCCCTGACTTATGTTCTTACCCTAACCCTAATGGAACACAAAATTTACAACATATATATATATATATATATCTTCGAATAATGAATACGTAACAAAAATTTCGTAACATTGGTTCTTAGCATTAACTTGAAGATATTAGACATAACCGTTGATATTGTGGCCGGTTAGCCAATATTAAAAAGTTGGTACGTTTCGCCGGTAAGAGCATCGAAGATATGTATTATTTTCACCTTTTTTATTTTTTAATTCTCGATTATTTTAACGTTAAGTGTCCTTAATAGAAAAGCAATGTTGTACTCATATATTAATTGTGCTGGGATCTGGGGTCCCTTATTTGAACCCATAATACCTACCTGTGCTTTTTCTATTAGTAAAACTACCCCTAAATCCTAACCTAACCCTATCAAAAAAGGTCCTAATATCAAAATAATTTAAAATCCTACCACAATACGATTGACGATATTATACGTACGTACTCGTTTCAAATCATCAGCCCTTGCTTGTGTTAATTTATTAAGAATGCGATGAATCTCGATAGCTTTCTGTTCATTATTCGAGACTAGAAGTTAGGATTCGATCACAAGTAATTCATTTTTATGGAGATAACTTATAAATAATTTCGATTAAAGAATTTAATTTTCTAAAAAACTATTAGGTACTTCCTAAATTTCAATGATGACTTAGCCAAAAAATTTATGATCTAACGTTTATTTTTGATATGAAAAACTTTTAATTCTTTAATAATAATCCTGCTTAATCACTAATCACTCCTATATTAATTTGAAAATGAATCCGAAATTTCAATAATTTTTAGCATCGATTTAATAAAATTTGTCCGTTTTTTGAGTTTGATACTATTGTCCGAGAATGGGACTTATATTTGGTTTTTGGTCATTATCCCAAAACGAAGTAGAAATCCCCAAATCAAAACTACGTAATAATGCCATCATTCAAAAAAAGGTTTGGGTCGCAACCCTAATCGTCAGCGAGTTCTGGATACGTAATATCAATAAAGTTTCATCTAACAAGAATTAAAAAGTAATAATTATTTGTAAGAGTGGTTTAAAAAAAAAATGTTACCGTTTTTGTACACGTCAGGATATTTTTTGAAGCAATCGTTCATTTCTCTAAAAGCTTCTAAGCAATCGGCACCTTTTTGTTCAGCATTCGAATATATAAAACATGAAAACGCTGCTTTAAATTGCTCTCCACAAGGACCATTGGCCATACCTCCTAGGCATGGACAATCCCAATTGATTTCACCAGTTTCTGGGTTATAGGCTCCGGATTGCGTTTCCTCATTAGTGTTTTCCAAAGTTGTTTCCTCATTAGTATTTTCCAAAGTTGTTTCCTCAATTTTCTGAGAGGCATTTTCATCAGCTTGTTTGGAATTTGTTATATCGTTTATTTCAGACTTTGAACTTTTTCTTTCGACTGACATATCGCGCAAGTACTTCACGAATAATTTGAACGACTTCCTTTAAAGATCGTTGTCCTATTTATTCCTGCATTCGCGAAATCTAGTTTTCTGATCATGTGTAACATCTAAGCTACAAGTTACGCAAAAAGCTACGAACAAAAATTTTTTCCGACATGTGACTTGTTTGCCGCACAAACCAATTATACTCGTTTTCTAACATGAAAATTTTTTGCTTTAATAATATTCTTAAATCGGTTTTTTATAAAAATTTTGAGAAATCATAAAAATTTTGAAAATTACTTTGTATCATCAGTGTTTTTTATCACATATAGTTTTAGGGTACAATTTTAATGCCGAAGAGAGGTCAGCTAAAATGGTCCAAATTTTAGATTTTCGGAGGTCCTAAACATTTTTACTTAGCATATCTGACCCTGTTTCTTAGTCCCGTTTTTGAGATATTGCAAACTGGTGATAATTACTAGTGGTGATAAATAGCAAATCTCAAAAATTTTATTGTCTCAATAGATGTGAACCAGTGTTGTCAATTTCTTGTTCTATTGATAAAATTATATTCTATTTATTTATTGCTTATTATATCTTGGTAATTTTTGTTCTATTGACAAAATTTTTATTTTATTCTAAATTTTATTGCTTAATTTTATTGTTTTATTGTTCTATTAATCTATTGCTGCCAATATCATAGGCAGAAGTTTAATTTAATTTTACATTATTTATACAGTTTAGAGTACTTTTAAAAAAAACGAAAACCAACCATAATAAAGTAAAAAAAAAACCATATAGAAGGTTTTATTAAAGCTTTAGGAATCCATAGTCAAAAATACTCGTCTGTTTAAAATAATTAGCTTAGTAATAAGTTGATTTTATCAGTTTTGAGAAGTTATTATACTAACTTTTTTAAACGGACGAGAATTAGATCTTATTTTTGGCTATGAAGTCTTACAACTCTAATGAAACCTTTTATACAGATTTTTTTATTTTATTATGATTAGTTTTGTTTTTTTAAAAAGTACCATAAATCAATGTTGTTCACTGGAAGCTGAAACTTCCACTGGACGTTCAGATTTTTCCAGCATTCCAGTTAAAAATTTTTTATACTGGAAGAATTACTAGTACATATTTATGAACAATGGTACAAACTTTCAAACTTGAAATTTGTAACTCAGAATCGATCTGTCCAATAAAAATATAGGAACAATCTATTACATGAAATTAAACAATTGGTTATGTCTCATACATACTGACCTAATTTTATACAATATGCTATAGTTATTTAATATTTGCAGTTACAAGAATTACCTGTTTAACTACTACATTACATTATTTTTATTCTTATAAAGTTCATTAAGATTTCAGTACTCATCTTTTTAACATTTTCTTTATTATTTACTATTAATTACAACTCAGAATTGATAGATTTCTCAAATTTCTAATTCAAATAGTCTGATATGATATATCTTAGCATTTTTTTTTTTTAACAATTCTAGCAGCCTAGTTGATGATATGTTCTTTTATATATCTTTGTTATTCAGTTTATTTGTCTGTTTTTATAAAGTTGTTTTATTCTTTAATTTGTAACACAAGCAAATTTGTCTATATTAATTTTTTTAAAATTAATTTTTATAATAAAATTTTAATAATTAATTTTAGCAATATTTTTTCTAAATAAAAAATATTTTTAAAAACCTATTTTATAAACTTTGTTTAGAAATTTTTTTAACTTTATTAAAAATTTTTAATTAATTAAAATTTAAAGGTTGTGTAATATTAGAGTTTATTATTAAAATATTTTTTAAGTTTTCTAAAATTTTATATTTTTGAAATTAAAAAAAAATTTTGTTTTTAAAACAAGTATGGTTACGGAAATCTATAATCGCCAATCACATGATCAAAAAATCGGACATCTTCAAATCGCTAAAACTTTTTACA